ATCAAAATGAAACTGTTCACAATGTACATGTAAGATATCACGCCATTTGCGTTGTCGGTTTATGATACAAAACACGATAGATGTGTTCGGTATAAAATTTATCATTTCTTTATTGAAAATTTCCTTCCATTGTCAAAATTCGAGTGTTGGTAAAATGGGTTGGTGCTGTCGGACCTGCACGGGCAAATTAAAAACCCGGGTTCTTAAATATTCTCCGTTAATACTCAGTCAATTGAATTGAAATGGGTGGATTATGAAGGTCGATCATAATAAGAATATTTATTAAATGAGATGTTTAACTTTTAGTAATTCTATTTGAATAATATTCAAGTTCTGTGAAATGGGAGTAAAATTTCTTGTCAAATTAGACATATATTTGCTTTCAAATATATTTTGTTGAGTGTTTTCTGCAGATAATAATAATCGGAATATTGCAGTTTTAGATTAGCCTTTTAATGTTTGTTGTGTCGACATATATCCATCAAAATTCAAACAATCTTTAAAATCTTCTTAACTACTGTACATTATGTAAACATTTTCACAGGGTGCACCCCCTTCCTGTAAATTATTAGGATCAATGCACAGGCACTTGACGCTTTAAACCTTTTTTTGATTGATAAAAATATCATCATATTATAATGGTATTATGGTATGGGATGGACATTATGAGATGAATGAAGTGATTATACCGGTTTCTGGGTCACTGTATATATGTATATATCGAATTGTGGGATACCTATAGTCACTATACCTGTTTGTGGGTCACTGTACAAATGTATATATAAATGTATTGTGGGATAAATAAAGTGATTATATGCCACTCTGTGGTTCACTATATTTAAATATGCATAAAAAATTATTGGATACGAAACATATAGATTAGATATATCTTGTTAAAAATCTCATAATATAAGGTTGATAAGCTCTGTGTTGAATAAATAAATAATACATTTTGGGATGGACATTTTGTGATTAATGTAGCAATCATACCAGTTTGTGGGTAACTATAATATATGTATATTACGAATTGTTGGATAAACAAGCGATTACATAAAATATATTGTGAAAATCTCATAGTATTAATTTGATAACCTGTATATTGAATAAAGAAAAAAAAAATACGTAATGGATTGGACATTAAGGGATCAACGCGATGATTATACTTGTTTTTGGTTAATTAATAATTACGTTTAAAAGAAATTCTGGGATAAGTAGGCGTTTAGATAAAATATCTTGTTAAGAATCTAATAATTTCGGATGAAACGTTGCATAATGAATAAATAATTAATACACTTTCGAGTTGGACATTACGGGATCAATGTATAGTACATGCTAATACCTGTTTATGGGTCACTATATACACGAATTTACATGTATATGAGGAATTGTTTGAAAAGTAGGTGATTGCAAAAAAAGTGTAACATGCAAGAGTGTTATAATATAAGGCTTATTAGCTGTATATTGAATAAATGAATAAAATATTAGTACGATAAGATGAACATTATGGGATCAGTCTAATGAATGCACCAGTTTGTGGGTCACTGCATGTATATGTAAGAAATTATTGGATAAGTAGGTGTTATGCATAAAATAATCTTTTTAATAATGTCATAATATTGAATAAATAAATAAAATATTATGAGATGGACATTATCGGGCTAAGGTAGTAATTATACCTATTTTGTGTCACTATCTATGCGTATATAGAAACTGTGGGATATGTAGGCTCGGGGATGAAATCTCTTGTTGAGAATTTCTAATATTAGGCTGATAAGCTATATGTTGAATGAATAGATTATGGTAATAGTAAATATATTACGATAAGGGATTGACTTATGGGATAGATGAAGTGAATATACCTGTTTGTGGGTCATTGTATATACGAATTGTGGGATATATATATTGCATGTGATTATACCTGATTGTGGGTCACTGTATATATGTATATAATGAATTGGGGGATAAATGTAGTGATTGTACCTGATTGTGGGTCACTGTATATATGTATATAATGGATTGTGGGATAAATATAGTGATTATACCTGTTTGTGGGTCACTGTATATATGTATATAATGAATTGTGGGATAAATATAGTGATTATACCTGTTTGTGGGTCACTGTATATATGTATATAATGAATTGTGGGATAAATATAGTGATTATACCTGTTTGTGGGTCACGATACATGTATCTATGTATATATGATCTGTGGGATAAATATAGTGATTATACCTGTTTGTGGGTCATGATATAGATATGTTTATAACAAACTTTTGGATATGAAAGCATATACGTAAGATATTGTCTTTAAAATCTCATAATATAAGGTTGATAAGCTCTTTATTGTTTAAATTAATAATTCACGAATGGAAGGTCATTATGTTATAAATGTAGTGATGATAGCTGTTTGTGGGTCACTATATATATTTATATGTATATAACGAATTGTGGGACAGGCGATTGCATAAAAATATAGTGTAGAATCTCGTAATATTACTCTGCTATCCTATATGTTGACTCAATAAAAATACATTACGGATTGGACATTATGGAATCAATGCAGTGATTAAATCTGTATATTTACTTTTAAAAGTAAGAATTCAATGCTTAAATGTGGTTCACTATAAACATGTATATAAGAAAATCTGGGATAAGTAGGCATATAGATAAAATATGCCGTTCAATATCTAACAATGCTTAATGAATAAATAAATTATAAATAATACATTGTGGGGTGGACATTATTTGATAAATCATCTTTGTCACTATATATATTTGTGTATGTAAGAAATTGTGGGATATATATAGAGAGAGAGGATATCCCTAAAATATCTTGTTAAGAATCTCATAAATCGTATATCGCAGTGAGTCATTATGTAATATGACCCCAAAATACTTGAAAAGTAATATTTAAAATCTTATATTGAATCCAGCAAAACTGTTCTTAATGATTCATTCCATATTGTACATATGTAAATATACATATATATTTATATCAAACATTAATTCTTATGTCTTACATTGTGAAATGCAGCACATAATATATATAGCATATGATAATATTGTGGGTCATGATATTCATATATATAGAGCATTGTGCGATGTATATACTTTATCCCACAATGCTCTATATATATGAATATAATGACCCACAATGATATACAACATTTTTAATCTTATCTCAAAAATTATATTATATATTATATAATGACCATATATAACGCCTAAATCATGAATATGACATAGCTATGCAATGTAGAAATGCGAGATCCCACAAACCTGTTTAGAAGGTCGGTGCCCACAAACAACCTCATATACCTATATATATATATATATATATATATATATATATATATATATATATATATATATATATATATATATATATATATATATATATATATATATATATATATATATATATACAGAAGCAACCTTAGGTATTGTAGAACCAAGTTTGTTCAAATCATGACACCACCCAAAGGGTTTTGGCACAACAGAAGGTCAAAGATTTGCATAAGTATATATAGGAATCATCTTGAAAAAATCAAAGAAAAAAAAGCAATGATTAGTCATATTATTATAGGAGTATCCACAGGTACAGTGGCTGCAACGTTATTGTTGACAAACCAATCGTGTAGAATCGTTCGTGCAACGTGCGTGATCGTTCGTGTAACGTGGGAGATCCTGCGTGTATCAGGCTCAACCGATTGCCGTTTTAATTATGCGTGATCGTGAGGTTAGAAACGTACAAATTTCGTTTTTTAAGTTTTTTTTTTATCGGAATGTAATTTGTTAAACAAGCATTTCGATTGTCTGTCTTAATTGAAATAAGAAAAAAAATGGAGCTCTGTTTACAATATTGAACGAACTAACTATCGCTAGTAAGTAAGCAATATAGTAAGTTGTACAGTATTGTATTCTCCTAAAATAGCATTTTAAGAATGAATTTCCCTCTGATGTTAGTTATGTTTACTGCTAATTATAGTTCAAGATATTTTTTATATCAATGCATTAAAAACGTATATCTTTACAAAAAATAATAAATTATTCCCAATGCTTAAATAAATATTAATGATGGATATAGTTTTAATTCATTTTATGCCATTTTTTAAAATGTTATCCGCCCTTACCGCATATGAAAAAAATCAATAGAATCAAAACTCTCCATGTTCAAGGCCTTAATAGGATATGCAGCAATCGATCATAAATTACATCTGTACGTATCGAAAAGCTTTCAAAAATCACTTTTCCTATGTGGGAGAATTACATAAATAATTATTTGTAATCTTAAATAACGATTGCAAATTATTTAGTTTAAAAAATCCATTTTAAATAGTTTTTTTTTTCAAAAGTCGATAAATTGCACCAATAATTATTTGTAATATAAAATAACTATACAATTAGTATACAATTAGTAAGTCGTAATTTTTCGTTTTTGAAAATATCCACTCCTAAATATTTTTAATATTTTGCGTAAAGAATCGTGCGTTTGCGTTAGCAATCGTGAAAGATCGTGTAATGTGTAGAATCGTGTGCGTGAAGGATCGTTCGTGTAACAGGTTTAATCGTGCGTTAATCGTGCGAAATCGTTCGTGTAACGTGATCGTTCGTGTAAGTTGTCAACAATAATGTTGCAGGCACTGTAGTGTAGATTCAAATTTGTTCTAATTTACGGTGGGTAGGGTGGGGCCACTATGCCCAATTTGAGTTTTACAAAGGAATACATAGGGAAAAAATATTCAAAATTCTTCTGTTTAAGAACAGCAAAGTCATGATTAGTAATATTGATATAGAAGCATCCTGAAGAAGTGTAAATTTAGGCTTGCCCCCTCCTCCTTAAAACTTTTCAAAATACTGAACTGATTTCTGCTTTTTCCTAGCCAGTGTGCTCAGGTGAGCTATGTGGCCCATGGGCCTCTTGTTTAATTTAGTTAGAGGCTCAATAAATAAACAGAAAAGGAAAATAAAATGTAAAATAAATGTTTACTTTCTGTAGAGTAAAAAGACTCGGACAGTAACAGTAATAGAGCCAAGGTCTAGCATCAAAACTTTCGGAACACCTCTGGATACTTCCCAGCTTCGAAGTCTGGTTTCTGTCGCTCTTGGTGTGGAGAAGGAAAACCCTGTCATCGTTGTCAGCAGGTTTAATATTAATTTTAAGAATGCATTTAAATAGGTGAAGGCAAATCTTACCATTCTTTTAGAAAGGTTTATTGGACCTCTTTTTAATAAGTAAATAAAATTCAGTATATGGATTTGACGGAAAATTTCTAATTTCTAATTTTACCACTGAGTGCACGTCTATTAGAAAAGAAATCTGAAATTCTAACGGTTTCTTTAAATGAAATATATTTTGCCTTGTAGCGATGGAGCTTCCCTCTGTGGTGCCTTTTGTGCTGTTCATAACGTGATTCAACAAATGAACATGGATACAAACGTGGATGTTTTTACCTCCGTCAGACAACTTCAAATTCGAAGGCCCGAGTTCTGTTCAAGTCTTGTAAGACCTATTAAACTTATCATATAATATCTTACAAGAACAATAGTATTCACCTTAGATATTAGATGTATGTATGCACCAAACGTTATTCAAAAGCACAGTTTTCATTAATTCAATGATTCGTTTGAATGCGCAAAAAAAAGAAGGAAATAAGGGCTGTTAACTGTGAACAACTTTAATTTCAAGTGTATAATATTTCACCTTTTTTCACCTTTTTTGGTACATTTCACAGTGATTTTCATTTCACTTTCTGCAATTTTCTTTTTTTTTCGGAATGCTATATACCATTTTTGAAAACAAAGAAAGTTATGGTTAATTGTTTAACATAAATGTACAATGTATCCAATAACTAACTCAACAATTTTAAACAATATTCACAATGGCTTAACTTTTACGGTACATTCTTTGAGCGCGAAAAAAACAGACACCAATTATTATTCGCTATTATTTCATTTACGATTTCTCAGTTTGAAATCATGTGGATGAATTTTTGCAACTGAGGAATTGTTCTGTGTACACAATGAAATAAATGTAGTTCACAGAGAGGAATAATTGCGAGTAGAATACAGTCGCAATATTTCTTAAATGTTTGTTTACAGTGTATAAATCGGAAACAAAACATCTCAAAAACCAAATACTGTTTTTTATACCAACAAAATAATATAAAGTAGCATAATTTCAAAAACAGCAATATATTTCAGTATCAAACGTGTTTGCTTACAGGAAGAATATGGACTCATCTTCAAGGCCGTGGATGATCACATACAGAGAGGCACAGAAACATATACTCTAATCAATAGAAGCATAGTTCATCAAAAAGAGACTTACACATAATAATAATAAAATTGTAAAGCTCATCACTATATTTATATCACACTGTAACTGCCAACAATACCGGTGAAAAACATTATACCTTTGTATTGTACATTATTAAAGTTATTTGTAACCTTAAAGGATGAAAACTGATTAGAGATATGGTTTAGGGCTAGGATTTTGAGTTTAAAAATAGACAATATTCGTTGCATTGTAACATTTGCATACCTTAATTGTAGGATTATTATATTTTATGAATTTAATAATAAACGCTTTTATCATTAACAAAATTTTAATTCATACGTGAAAAAGAAAATATTCTTTCAAAATAAACAAAATGTCATTCTCATAAATATTTGACTTGATGTGCTCTTATAAAGAATGTTTTCAACTTATAATTTATTTATCTTATGTCATTGTATGTGGAAGATAAACATTTTCATTGCATTTCCTATAGGGCATAAAGAATATAACAGTTTATGTGAAAACCTTTGAAAGAGGGATTGTGCAATAAAACTAACTTTTATGACAAACTAAGTTTAGCAGCATTGTATCAACCATTAATGATAATGACATTGACAATGATAATGATTTTGACTAACAATAGAATGTTGGATTTAATAAGTGAATGGATTTTTGTTTTCTAATGATAAAATCATTACATTAATGATACACCACCTTAGCATTAATGATAAAACATTTACATAATTGTGTTAACATTTTTTCATTAGAGGTAAAAATGCTGCCACTAATGATAAAAAAAATGACAGAAAGAATATGCACAGTCTCCTCAACTTATCAAAAAACAAGGCTCGTGCATTAGCGAATACAGTTGACATTCGTTAAGGATACAATTTAAGTTTCAGTATCCAAATATCGCTTTTCCTTCTTTTACTTATAGTCGTTTGAATGCAGTAGGTGGGAGTTGTGCGGGAAAGTGTCTGTCCTGTTTACTATCATTATGGATTCTCAATGGTATATGATTCTGAAATACATTCTTGTACTTAGATTTTTACACCAATGTGAAGCAGTTGTGCTTTAATTAATTTTTATTATTTGCGCAAACAGGATATGGTGATTCCCAATGGGTTTTACCCCCTACAAGCCCAACTGTGATAAAGCTTAAATCAGCTATTCTGATGACATATTGTTAAACATCTCTTTGTCTGTCCGTTCGTTTGTTAGTACACTTTTAACATTTTGGACTTATTGTTAAAGAAAAATGGACCAATTTCAACCAAACTAACTACAAAACTTTTTTGTGTTAAGGCCGTCACGGTAGCTCAGTCTGCACAGCGCTCGCTCTGTGATCGGAAGGTCGTCTGTTCGAATCGATAAAAAAAAGTTACAGCTGTTCCTTTGCTAAGCGCTCGGTACTTTGAAGTGAAAGTTGCTTGTCCTTCGGATGAGACCTGAAAAACCGAGGTCCCGTGTCACGACAGGCGTTGGCACGATAAAGAGCCTCCACCTCTCAATGACCATGAGTGCCGAGTAAAGGTCTAAATTTGAAGCCCTTCGCCGGTTTATGGTGACGTCTATATATGAGTGAAGAATTTTCGAACGGGACGTTAAACAACATGCAATCAATCAATCAATCAATCCTTGTGTAAAGAAAATCTTATCAAAGAATACATAGGGATTTTTTTTCATCGAAAGAAGAGAAAATCCCTGATTAATCATATTTATACAGAAGCATTCTCAGATAGTATAGAATTTACTTTTATTCAAACCATTATCTAGGGATGTACGATGGAGCCACAATGGGCGATCAACTTGTTACCTTAGAATTTATAGGAAATCTTTAAATAATCATGATAAGTCATATCTATACAGAAGCTTTCTCAGTGGTTCTCATAATCAATGGTCCTCCGGAGCCTTCGTTTTTTTTTTTCCTTCTTTCTACTGGTTTAATTATTTGTGAGATATAAAATGTACCTATAAAAAGCAAACCCTTATACGTATTCTTTGGCATTGTTATTGTTTTAACATGTCGTTTGGTCTTGACAAGAGTTTTCCACAGCCGTACACAAAATGATTTAAAGTATGCTAGCCTTGACGTCAAAATTTCATTTGCCGTCACATTCAGATTTCTATACCGTGCTTTAGTTTTTATGATCTTCGTATTCTAACAAACTTGCACATGATGAAGTTAAATCAAAATTGAAAAGAAAAATATGTAAACGTATATAAGAGGAATTATAATCGCATTTGCTATGGTTCCTGCAAGAGTTTGAACGCAGGTGTTACATATTTCCAATATCTGATTCCGCGATTGTGCCGGGTCCCCTACCGTTAACACATTAATATACTATTGAAAAGAAGGTGTTTAATATTTGTAAAATATTTCTTGCTTTTATTAGTTCTTAATGTATATCAAGCGTAAATGACAATTTTCATTTAAGAGCGTTCATTACAAGGAAAATTAAATACAACTTTTCAATAATTTCCGCCCTTGTTTTATATTGTTGTTTTTTTTTCTTTAAAACTCTTGATAAATATAGTTTTTGTTCTGTGTGTTTGAATGCTTTACTAAAAAAAGGAAAGTGCGTACGCAATCCCACCAGGTAAAAAAAAAATCCGATATTATTCGTAGGATATTTAACTCACGTTAGCGATGCAGATATTTAACTAGGTATTGGGGTTAAATATAACCAGTATTTTTGCACGTCTATATATATGTTTACAAGATTTATGCTCTGTTCACCTGAATTAAGCGCTTCCTTGATCCGTTGGTGTAGTATTCTGAATGCCTCAAATGTATGTAAAAGTAATTCTAAGTGTGGCTTTGATGACTGGATCTACATTGGGATACGGTAAGTTATTTAGCGAATGGCAGGATTCTATCTACATTATGATGTGGCTCAAAAATATTTCATTATGAAGGCTTTAAAAAAATCGCCAGCATCTTACATGTATTTTATCAATGGTTATATCCTATATAGCACATGGAATGTGTTCTGATAGCTTATCATATTTCTTCTTTTTAATAAACATAATTTTCATCATTGTTCCATTTGAGTACCTTTTCTTCCAAACACCCGATGAATTCAAGTTAAACTTCAACATTAAACATGTTGTGAATGCTCAATGTTTTGTAGTTAAATAGGTAATTTATTTCACGAATGGGACAGGGTATTTTTAAGAGTGTGAAGCACGAGTGAATAAATATAATAAAAAAATCTGTCTCACGAGTGAAATTAATGCAACATTTTACTACAAAACATCTAATTTTCTATTGATTACGTTTTCTTTGATTTTTTTTATGCATCTGTTTTTTCGTTACACAATGTCATAGGCTGTGATGTTATAGTTGAGCTGTTAAGACGTCATAGCTAAGCGGTTGTGAGATTGAAACATTGTAAATATGGATTTCCACAAAACATTTGTAGAAACTTTGACAGTTTTAGTAGCTGTCACATGTGTCAGGATGGTGTTATTACCGTCTTCCTTGGAAGACGGTATACAGAGTTGAAGTATTTTACAGTCTTCGGACTTTGCACTTCCTCTCTTTTGTGATTGATAGAAATTGCATGATGAGAAAATTTTCAATTATTTCATTGGTTGAAATGCTGTTCAAGGCAAGGGAGATAATTTCCTGATGGTCTAATTTTCGTACGACTTGCCAATTTTTCAAGATTTATATGACAAAACGAACAGTGGAAATTGACAGCAATTAAGGACCCTCTATACACTAGAGGAAAATATTTTTTGGACATTGAGAAAATTATAGTGTGTAAAGATTTAAGAGGCAGTCCACCAAAAAACCAGGCAATGGGTGGCACATCGCATGTCATGGATTTTAATTATTTTTTGCATGTAGACTTATTAAAGCAAATGTTTATACATGGCAACATCAAAATTTTTTTTAGTGTTCCTCTAGTCCTGTTTTTGGTTAGTGCTTAATTTTAAGTGCAAAAAGGTCAACAAGTTGGTTAAAAATTTACTACGTTTTTGTTTTGTTTTATTTGAAACAAATACTCAAAAACTGGATATGTCAATAAATATTATTTATAGTATAAACCCTTATCTTTTATAATATCAATGAATAAGACACCAATTTATATATCTTTAGAAAAAATTATGTGGTCTAAACTTGAGTTAAGCAAGTGACTTAATGAATTCACTATCCAATTTTCATTACGTTCTAAAATCCAATACATTTAAATGTCAAAACTTTCTCCTCATGTTATTATGAATACAAAGTACAAATTGTTGAATCAATTTAAAAAATTGGTGGGAACAGGTATATTGAGAGAAATAAGAGGCGTCAAATTATCTACTTTTTATAAATTTATCCAAATTAAACCGATCTCGACCGGAATTATATAAATAGGAAAGCTACTATGATTTCATCATGATACTTGGTTGTTTTGTTTTAATATGGTTTACAAATTACTTGATTTATTTTTAAACATGTTTTCTAGGTGGCAATTACCATTAATTTGTTTACTTAATAATTTTGCATCAATTTCGATCGGGATCGGTTTTATTTCAATCGGGATTGGTTTCTATATTAAAAATTAGAAATATTTTCTAAAATCGGCTCTTCGTTGTATTTTATCGTAGGAATATGTCTGTATTTTATTTCTTTTCTGTGAGTTACATGTTTTGGATGATTTTATCCATAGATTACATATATCTTAATTACTAAATGTTTTTTTTCAGGTCCATGATGATCTTTTTAATTACTTGTAAAACATCTGTTTGATTTCTTGATACACACCTATTCAAAAAGATATTTGTTTCATGTAACAATTAATAGCAAATTTTAAGCTTAATAAAATATCTCATTTCCAAGGAAAATATTTTTCTAAATTATCTGGACTAAAAAGAAAATCTAAAAAAAAAAAAAAAAAAAAAATAGTCCTGCAGTGGCGAAATTATACATGCACGTACTTTAATCCTGCAAGTATTTTTTATGTGTACAGCCTCGGCTTTAATTCCAATTTTTTTCATCCATTCATCATATTAAGGAATATTTTCATGCTCTAAGAAATTTAATTTGAAATAAATAAGAAAAAAACCTGTACACTTACATACATATAATCATGATAATAGAGCCCAGAAATGATCGCACGAAAAAAAAAAAAAAAAAAAAGCGGGGGGAGGGAGTTTCGTCTGGGCGGCATCCGTTTTGTAACTGGTTTGATAATAATGAGATATTTTGGAAATTTACCAACCTACTGACTTATTTTAACTCAATATAAAGTATAAGGATATGTGGAACAATTGTCAAATTTTAAAAACGAAAATAAAAAAAAAAAAATGTTCCATTGACTCATCTGCCGTTTTAGTGTCAGCTTGAAGTGGGGCGTCCAGCAGTAGAATTGGCAACATTTTCCTCATTAAGTAGTAAATTAATAGAATTCTATAACTTTTTTTTCTATTTCAGATTTTACATTTTAAAAATAAATAAAGTTTAAACAGAATCTGAACCACCGACACTAATAGTAAACAGCCATTGCTAATATTAGTGAAGTGGGATGTGACGAGTACTTTCGTTCTTACAACTGTTAAAACTTATTCGGTCCGACAGTCGTATAATGCTGATATTTGATATTACTGCATATAAGTTAACATATTCAAGTATTAACAACACTTCATGAAGTGTACATCTCGACTTTGCTGAATTTAATGTTGCGTAAATTTGGAATATTCATTAGTACTGAATATTAAGAAATAATCCTTAATCTTTTCACATCCAAATTTTATCCTATTATGATTACTGTAAAGACGTTTTGTACATGTATAAAACTACTTATCAATACTGACTTGTTTTAAAACATCTATAGCTGAGGCGTCGCCCGTGAATAAAATACATTCTGGATCACAATATTATTTAATGCACTCGGAAAAGTAATTGGACAGAAATAGAAATTATTTAACGTAACTTTTTAAAAATCTTTTTCTTTGCACGTTTACATAAATTCACCAACTTCCGCGGAATATTTGCAACTATTGTGACGCAATATTAGATAGGTATTTGACGTCACTGATACATCAATGGAAACGTGGTTTCAACCTGAATAATAAAGCAAATTTTAGACTAAATATTATGTTTGGATTTGAAAATTAATTCCGTTTTTGAAAATAAACCAATTATTTTTAGTTGAATGATATTCTTTAGCGTATCAGTTCTAAATTTCTCACAGGGGTTCTGATACCACTGGCGGATTTAAGGGGGGGGGGGGGGCGCACGCCCCCCCCCCCTAAAATTTTCAAAGTATGACATGACTAATATTAATAATGCCATTCTTTGGTTTTATAATCAATGGTCAATTAAAAAATGGCAATTTTATTTAATGACCAAGTATCGGTTTTCTTAAAAATCAAGTCTGAAAACCTTGCATTCCCTAGGCTATGAATATTATCTCATAATTATTCAAACCGGAAAACGTCTCCCGATTTCGTTTGAAGGGTAGACTACACTTGTCAATTTCCTATCATGATGCAAGGAAAAATACTGCAATATTTAAAGGCTGGTCGAAGGTAAATACTATAGTAAATGAATTTAAAATCAGACGGTCTACGTTACAAACCCGCCCACTGATTGATGTATTTATTTATCAAATGGTGTAACTATGCAGTAATTTACTTACATAGATACAAGACTTTTTTTCATTACACACATCTCATAATCTTTCCATATAAATGGAATTTAAGGTCAGGATGTAGGTTACGATGGTGTAACGTCGACCACCTGGTTAATCTCGACCGTTCATAAATACCTTAAAATAATTTATTTATAATCCATTATAGCGTACATACATCTACATGTATTTTATGCAGAAAGAAAATGCATTTTTCTTATACAAATCAGTGTCGATAATAATAGGCGGAATTTATTTCTTCACTGGAAAATTACATCCAAGAAGAAACTTTATCGCCCGAAAAATTACGGACGAGTATTTTTAAACCATTGCGGGGCATTATCAGTTTATCACCTCTGAAAATATCTTGTATATATAGAAAGACACAGTGGATATTCCTGGCGTGAAATTTATCAACTATGTTTAATTTTGCAACTTAAATTCATACCTTTTTAATTTATAGTATTTACAAATAAAATGCAAATCAGTTGCCCTTTTCACAAAAAATCTTAAGTTTTTGCATAGGATTTCAACTTAAGAATCTCTTACGACAAATCTTAAGTGTGTTTCACGAACGCATTCGTAGCAGATTGAACTTAAGATTTTACTTACGACAGACTTCATCCCTAGCAACGACTTCAATATGCTTTATAATCCTTAAATAAGTGGGTGAAAATAAAAATACAACTTAGTTTTAAACATTTGTCAGCATAACAAACATTATTGACAACAAATATCGAATGCAATCGTTTGTGAAGCAAGGAAGTTAAAATCTGACGTCACAATCACAAGTTTGACGTAAAAGTAGGTCATATGAAAATCTTAAGTGAAACTTACATCGTAAATATTTTGTAGTGTATTTCATTTAATTTTTCAACAATGATTGTGAAATAATATAAAATATTATTGGAAGTTGCTTTTAAAAGTTCAATTTAACGTGTATTTTGATTTTTGCGGTCTTATTTTTACAATAAAATCGGTTTTAAAATATTAAGAGAGGGTTGGGGCTCTCGTAAAGTTACGACAGATTTTGCACTTACGACTTTCTTAAGAATTTTTGTGAAAACGATTTTTATCATAAGTTTTAACTTAAGATAAAAATATATCGTAAGATTTTTTGTGAAAAGATTCACAGCTGAACAGAAATCGGCCGAAGTTACCCATGCATGAATACGGCGTCAGCGGGTAATTCAGTTAGACAAATGAAAAAGACGCAATGCAATTTGTTACCAGAAAAAAATCATGACCACCGTCCGTATAAAAAAAATATTAGGATAAGTATTATGTACAAGAATACTCCGTAGAAACTAGTTCTATAACAGTGAAAAAATCATCTGTTCTGTTTACATGTGGTTTAGATGCCTGCGCATATACATGTATATACATTTGTAGCATGCCTTGACAAATCGGTAAATCAGTCTTTGGGCACCTGGTGCACATCATGTCTTCAAATTAGGTACATTTTGAAAATTACTTCTTTTTTTGTCAGCATTTTTTCACAATCTTTTATGTTTTACAACAGAATAATTTAAAATTAATATATATATATATTTAAATTAGAGGTGACGCGAATAATTTCGTTTATATTTGCACATCGATCGAAAATCCCCGTGTGCGGTCGAAGTTACCCAACACGCATATCTTGTAAATCGAACACATTTATTTTATATCATGACGAATAATACATATAATACAATGTAATCTGAACAATAAAAGGTATTCCGAAGGAAAATGGATCCAGTAAAAGTTGAACGTAATACATGTAATAGGCAGTGACATACTTGAACAAATCTAAATAAAACAAAATAATAATCGGTCGAAATTACACCACGGTACTTTGAAAAACATTCTGATTTTTGTGACTTCTTGTATATCTAGGTAAAATGCTATTTTTAAAATCTGATCTTGTTTGTTCGTTGTTTTTTTTTTGTTTTTTTTTTTGTTTGTTTGTGTGTGTGTGTGTATGTGTTTTTTTCTCTTTTAAAAAGTGAAAAATCGTAGTGTACATAACTAATTAATACCACTATTTTTGTGTCTGGTTTTACTCTTAAAATTCACGAAAACCCAGGAGCTTCCAAGGGCTTCGCCCCCTGGACCCCCACCAGGGCTTCGCCCAGACCCCCTGCCTGAAAGAAGTTATCCACCCCCCCCCCCCCCCCCCCCTAATCACAAATCCTGTATCCGCCCTTGGATAGTAAGATGTTTAGATGATTTCCCGATGCTACGGGAGATAACTCTTGCATCACAGAATTTCATAAAAATGACTGTCTATTTTGCAAGAAAACTACTATTGAAAATATTTTTCCCACTGATTTTATTTTTTGAATTGAAAGATGAAATATTTCTTGATTTAGTTTGGAGTGAATTATAGATCTGTTGAAAATGTATTAGAATTTACAGTTCTTTATTTCCGACCAACATTCAATGGTTTATATAGGGGAATTCAAGAACACAAAACAAAACATTATTTTAGTAAATAAGCTATTTTCAAACAAATCTTTACTTACATTATTCCATATGGACTACATTAATATCATTTTCAATAAAATATCAAATATTCGTCACATTCGATGTGCGGCCTATTAATACAAAACTGCCTGGTTTTCTGGTGGACTGCCTCTTAAGTATTGAGCTTATCTATCACATTTTCAACATAGGGTGCCTTGCATTCACCCCCAAGAAAAATGTTCAAAGACAATGAAGTACTGATGAACATAAATCACTGTTGTTTACTTAAGTGGGCAAAATATCTGCAAATGAAGTGTTTTATCTATTCATTTTGACCTATTAAAGTGTTATGAATGCTTGATTTGATCACAAATTAATCAATAAATTATACATTTCAATTTATTTTATTCTTGATCAAAGGGCAGATCACTCTACTTGCATAAAAATACCACAAAATCATAACTCTCTACTGTGCAGTGTATAGAGGTCTCTTAATTGGAAATAACATGCTAGTTTTTTTTATAGGAATTACCAAAAAGCGTTTCTATATGTTCATTGTTAACAGAAGTGATCTTTATTGCATGCAAGCTTTACAGCTTGTATGTATTCTTTTTCCCTTTGTTTTGCACTGTCTTTCTAATCTCGGCAGCACTCGGCAGATTCGTACCTCACAAAAGTGACGGAATCAGTCGAGGTTTGCCGAATGATCTCAGCAGCCGAGTTAATGTTTACGGAGACAGCCGAGCATCTGTTAACGTTTCACTTGGTAGGGCTTATGTCAGAAAAAATTAATGAAGAAATACAAAGCCAAGAAATTTTCAAGAATTATACGGCCTGATAAGTTTAGGTCAGTTTATTGTTTAAGGTTGTTGCTAAAGACGGTAAGCTTTCTTAAAAAGCTCTACTTGTTTACTCTTTCTTATAACAGTCGGAGTGGTGTTTTACAATTCTCACAATGACAAAGTATAATTTATGTATTCTTTCCCACTGTGTCAAAATAGTGCTTTAATTCAATAAATAAATTACATTATTTTCTGTTGAAAATTTAATGAAAATGTAACTCCTATTTAATAATTAATTATAAATAATAGGGCATAATAATATTCGAGACAATTATTTTTTTTTTATCTATTAATTAATTATTTTTTTTTCTATTTATTTTGTGTGTTTAAGAAAACATTGCTTTACTTAAACCAACTTGGCAGTATGCGGAATATAGCTCGAGGGATGGTAGATTCCATGCCAGTAATGCTGTTGATGGACTTAAAAGTAATCTCTCAGCCTTGGGAGGACAGTGTGTCGTATCTGCAAATGAAAGAAACAGTGCCACATGGTTGGTGGATCTTAAATCCATCCTCAGCATACACCACATTACGATTTATTATAGAACAGATAACTCAAGGTGGGGTAGGTATCAGTACTGAAGGGGGACATGTTCAATAAAGATTTGTAACTGGGAATCATTTTATAGGAAATACCTTAGTTTAAGCTTTGATGTGTGTACATGTAGATAGTACTTGAATTGTGTACTGATATGAAGGTAGCCAACATATGAATAAGTTTATATTGTCTTGCTCTTTCATTTTGAGCTGACAAAACAAACGTAATTAAAATATTTATGCAAGCTTGATTCTTAAAAAAGCACAAACACACAATAAGTTATCTCTGGCAAATTTTTGTGTGTGTGTTTTTTTTTTTTTTTTTTTTTTTTTTTTTTAATTCCAATGTTCTCTTTAATTATTTACAATTAACACAAAACTTGTCTTCTAAAAATATATAAATCCATATGATATTGCATTACATGTAGAATTGATAAAATAAAGATTATATTACAGTATTGTTTGCTTAAAGAGTATTTTAATGGACTAAATTAAGAGTTGAGTTTTACAGTGCCACTTTTTTAAGTAAAGAATATCCCCATTACTTATCAAACAAAAAATAACTAATCTCCCCCTTATCGAAGTTACCCCCACCCCCAGAAGTAACCATGATTCATAAAGTATTTATAGTTTTAATAAAAAAAAAAAGAAATAAACAAATTGATTTAAGGGGGTCGAATTTTCAATAGAACAAAGTCCATTATATGACGGAGTTCATTAAAAGACACAATTGCATTCGAGTGAGATTTAAAAAAAAAAATTGCAATCAAAGTCCAAAATAACTGACCAGTGGTGATAGTTGATACTAGCAGAAAAGCGAGTGAATTTCTTTTAAATATATTTGGAATGGTCAACTTGGAAACTTTTAAAGACCTCAGTTGATAAACATAACGCCACCATTGATGTCCCAATATATATTTTTGAGAAAGGTATGAAGTCATAATTGAGCAAGAAAATGTTGTTGAACAACATGGACTTTGTGTGCAAGATAAACTTAGAGTTAAACTATGGAAGTTACAGACAAATTGTTGTTTATGTATGATTATAAGAAAATAATTTACAAAGTGCAATGATTAATGGGTTATCTCAATTTGACGTAACGATTTGTGTTCTAGGACTCTAAAACTGAGAGATATTCATGTGTATTTATGTTCGCTTTGTATTTCATTTTTGAGTCACGTGTTGATATTAAGTCTTTCTTTATTACAAGTGTATGCAGGAAAGACTTCTTTATACTGTATCTTTTCAATCCCTATAAGAATTATAAAATATAAAAGAATCATAATTTCTTGAGATACGGTACATTCATAGCCATGGAGCTATCGATTAAGGTTTATTTTATCTTGCAACTAATTTACGATATTATAATGATTAAAATTCGATTAGAATTCTTCAGTTTGAATCAGTAATGATTATACGAATGAATTGATAAATTGTTTTTTAAAGACTCAAAATAGTTTATTTAGGCCAAATGATATTTCCCCCATGGTATTATTCAAATGGTGCAACTCCAAAGGACAATTGGATAATTTTAAATTCACATTGCTGTGTCACACTGTATACACAGTGTAATAAACACTATTTCGCAGGATGTGCTTTTCACCTTACGTCAGAGGTAGCTGTGACATGTACTGTGACTAATATTAAGAAATGATAGTTAACTTCCTCACAACTATGAATAAATTGTAAATGCAATGATTTACCTTCTGTGTACGCTAGAGCAATTACTTTGTAATAGTAAAAACTGTTTTCTAACAGCAGATAATGAGTTGCAACGTCTTTTAATGAGAATCGGTAAATAGTGAATGTTTCATGTAAGCATACTTTCATGCTCTCAATGCTACTATTGTTCTTTAGATAGAGTTGATGGCTACAACACAAGATTTTTGGGATTTTATGTTTACATCTCGAACACAACTAACAAAAATGATGGAATCCTTTGTTATCATGACACGAACTACACAAAATCAACCATTCCACCTGTAATCAACATACGATGCCTTTTCCATGGAAGATATGTAATCTATTATAATGAGAGGCCGCAGTATTTTCAACCGTCTAGTGAATATTCCCAATATGCATACAATGAGTTGTGTGAAGTTGAAGTTTACGGTAGGTTTATGCACATGATATTGAAAACAAACTGTTATCAATTTTTGAAATAAGTCCCTTCTGAAACTCTTTCAAAATAGTAAGCAAGAAATTATTTTGATCAGCGTAATGTGGCATGGTGACCTTCAATAAAGTAGCTATGGAAATTGTAAGAATGATACACCGTTTACTGCAAATTTTGAGAAATATCTCTTTTACAAGAAATTGTTCATCCTTAATTATTTCATTTTTAGTTTTAAATCTTTGACGATATTTTTCTTTTCCATGAACCTTTTCAAAGAGTATATTTCGCAGTTAAACAGATTTATCTTGCAATTAAAAATAAATTTCTGCCCCCGTTTTATCTATTTTATCAGCAAATGAATTTTTTTTCTGCAAATTGCCATACTAGCTTACAAATTAAGGCATATAACTTAATTGTCATTGTCTGGATTAGATTAGCTGTTCTGTCATATTATTTTCTATGGGCCTACGGACCCGATTTAAGGATGATTGCGTTTGCGTGATGGCAATATAGAAAAAAAATATTGAAATATGCGCCTATACTATAAAGAATCCAACGTGTTCCGAATGTCACCATGGCGTGTAAATTACAGGGATTATTATTTTTATTTTTATTATTGTTTTCTTTAGACTGAAGGTATATCCAATCTCAAAAAGGTTTGTTTTGATTAATTTGGTAGTTATACAATGTACATGTAGTTTCTTAATTCCAAAACCGTGTCAGAGCGATTCCGCAATTTTCTGTTACATTGCAGGTATATGGGAGACATTCTTACTGTGGCAAAGGACCGTTACTAGACACTGTTGGATTATTCTTACTATGTCTAGACACTTCCTTCTGGGGGAGTTTTTAAAGCTTAAGTCTTTTAACCCTCTTCCCCGCAGTCTCGCATTTTAACGCATATACCATTTCCTATTTCTAACGCAAAATCGCGCATATACCGTTTCCCCGCAATCACTCATTTTCACGCACTTTCAAAAGTAAAATTTAATCGTCAATTTAATGCCAATTCCCTTCTAATTTGTACTTGCTAAAACTTCATAAAATAAGAAATGTTATAATGTTATTAAAATATTACGTCATAATTATTTACGCTAAACTTTAGAGAAACTTGTACCTCGCTATAAAGTGCTTGCGGAGAAAAGGTAACGTCATATTTCTATGACGTGAACATTAAGTGTATGTTGCGTCACAGTTCAGTAAGTTGTAAAGAGTTAAGCATACTTTTACAGCTTTCTCAATAATTTTGGGCATAGATATACTTTAAATTTGAAAAAAAAATCACTTTCTTCATTCATAAATTGGTATCGCATCCATCAACATCTAAAGGTTATAATGGTCAGAATTCACAAAAGCCGAATTTTTCATCTCTAGATTCTGCATACTGAATTAAAATTCAAGGTTTTCATATAGCGAAGGTTGTTTAACCGTAGAGTGACCAGAGATGTTATATAAAATCTTGTTTTCAAGAACGTCTTTTGAATTTAATAAAATATATTTGAAAAAGCAAATGATTTTTCTCGGGAATTTAAATGGATGCATGCTCATTGGAAAAAGTGTAGACATAAACATCGTTTAATTTTCTTTAAAAATATAATAGATTAAAAATTGTGTTATATTTAGAAAATAAAATGCTTAAATGTAAATAGAGAGAGAGAGAGAGAGAGAGAGAGAATACAGTGCCATTTTTCTTACAACAACCGAAAAATTGCGCTTAAATTCGTAAAAACTGGTTTTGCAACTTTTAATAAGCGTACAAAAACGTAATATATACAACAGCTGACATGACTAATGCGTTAGAATACGTAAGAACCTAAAAGAAATCGTTCGACTTTAAAACAAATTACCTAAAAGTATGAAAAGTTTATATGGAATGTATTGTAAAATGACAAAAAATTTACTCCTCTTTACGCTGTGGATATTGAAAGTTTTTTTTTTCCTCTTTTTTTTTTTTTTCATTTTTATGCCTTTAATTACCTTCCAGTGGTCCTTCAGGGAATCGCTCTTGGCTATATTAACCTGGAGTTTTATAAAAAAAAAATTATGTTTTACGGCTTTGTGACTCAAGAAGTGAGAGAAGGTTGAAAGGATTTGGTATCACAACATTTGCAAAAGAAAAGAAAAATATTCAACAAAAGTGTGCCATAGATTGTTCTATAAAAATAAAGTTGTTAGCGTGCGAAAAAGGTTCAAGGGGATCAAATTCATTTATTGTGTTTTACGCCAAGTCGGCAATATTTCAGCCAAATGGGGATCAAAGTGGACATAGGGTCATTCAATGGAAAAGGCATAATATACAATAGTGGTTGAAGTATACGGCAGTGAAGTCAACCGAATAGTTTAACATTATCAAAACAAGACACTGTAGGTTTTGTGGTCAATCATAACATATTCATATGCGTTTTGGAATAATAGAAAGTCAATATACCGTAAAACTTCTCTAATCTGGACACCACTGGTTCCAAAGAAGGCAACATCTCGGATTTGACAACATTTAAAACAACTGAATTTACTGCAAGGGACTTAAAGTTAACATCGTATATGAGAAGATTTCGGACAAGTTTCCCTGTAATTACCACAAATAGCAATTCAATTAGTTATAACATTGTTATTTTATTAAGGATGTCCTATTGCTGGCTTCTATGGATCAAATTGTTCTATCCCCTGTGCTGACAATTGTGGGAACGGTTATTGTCACATAGAGAATGGAAAGTGTTATTGGTGTAAGCCAGGATATAAAGGTCCTTATTGTAAACACGGTATGATTCTTTCAATTCACTGTTGATTAAAAAAAAAAAAACAAAAACAAAAAAACAAAAACAATATATCATGTATATTTCAGAACAGAATAATGTAAATCTTGGAATGCTTCCATTTGAAATTTCCATTTGGAAATCTCAATAACCTTGAGCAGAAAAAAAAATCTTGGTAAATGCATATAAGATCCGCATTTCTTTTAGCCCCTCTTTCAAATGGATCACGGGGAAAAAAATCATTTACGAATTGTTTAGAATTGAAACAACTTACATTGTCTTTATATATTATGTCATAAAATCTACTTTTGAATGTTTAATTTAACATTTTGGAAATAATAATGAATAAAACTTCCAATTTGCACTTTTTTGTTAAATTTGCAGAATGTGATGGTAGAAAATATGGACAAGATTGTGAAGAAAGCTGTGGAGCTTGTCTGGGTTATAAACAATGTCACCATATAAATGGGTCATGTCTTGAAAGCTGTGACAGTGGTTATAAAGGAGAACTTTGTACGACTGGTATGCTTCATCTTTTGCAATTATCGCATCAATGTACTGTGCTTCTTAATCCATACAACTTTCTTGTGATTCATTGTTCTGTTTTAAAAAGTGTAGGAAACGAAATGTCTTTCAATGTTTATTTTCATCTAAAAAAAAGAATAATAATAAATTTTACTTGTTATGTTAACAAATATTTCTTTGTCACATACAAGGTTGTTTTGGTTGGAAGTTTGGCATTAACTGTGAGGAATATTGTAATAAAAACTGTGGTGTACAGTATAAGTGTAACAGCACGACCGGACAGTGTGAGGGTGGATGTCAGCCAGGTTGGGAGGGTCCAAAATGCGATCAGGGTACATAGTGATCCTAAAATCACCAAAACATTATAACTTCAAGATGAGTTTTTATAGTTTATATTCCTTTTCGGCTATCTATTTTCAGATATTTGAAACAACCCGTGAACAGTAAAAAAAAAAAAAAAAAAAAAAAAAAAAAAACAAACAAACAAACAAACAAACAAACAAACAAAAAAAAACCCCATAAATTGCATGCACTTCAACATTTAACACCAGACATTTTCAATTCTAACATTTGCAAATCACATACCAGTCTTTTTGCGTGATATAAAGATTTCAATGAGATGCTAATGAAAAATAGCGTAAAGTAAATATTTATTTCATGTTCGGTTCCCTTTAGTCTGCAGCAGAAATAAGTTCGGAGAAAACTGTACTCACTTATGTGGATTCTGTCGATACTCTCCTTGTCATCACCTAAATGGGTCCTGTTTAGGAGAATGTGCAGAAGGATACCGAGGAACTCTATGCATTGAAGGTAACATCCCACTCATACTTTCCAAGCAATTAAATATGGAATTATATATTTAAAGTGTAACAGTTTAAACATCCCTGCAATAGATCTCAGTAGAAGTCGTTCATTTCAAAGTATTTTTTTTTTTATCTCTTTTTAATTCTCTTTCACTACCGTATCGATATAAATTGACATTATAAATGTCATATTTTATACATCTTTGATACATCAGACTAGATATCAAGTATTTCAAAATATCACTTTTTAGTTTTCTTTTCAAATTTGTTTTCATATGGAATGAAACATGGATTCAAGTGTTGAAATTTGATTCAATGCTAAAGATATCTCAAAGCATAATTTTCTTCTTTGAAGTTTTATATGAATTTATGCATTCAAATGATTTTTACCTTTTACCTCTCCTAACAGTTTGTAAAAGGAAAACGAAAAGAAAACCTATTACTTAATTCGCATATAATTTTGTGTACGAGAGGTTAATGAAAAAAATTCTTGGACTATTGCCTTAGAAATAAAACTGCATTAGGTACATCAATGAATTTGCTTGCATTTAGTTAGCATCATCTTTTCTATCTAGAGAATAAACCATGAATCATAAATTTTATTTTCTAATAAATTGCTAATGTTTTTGTAAGCAATGGTATGTCAAGGCAGCGCAACCACAAATATGACGTTTTTTCTACTTGAGCGTTACCAAGAAAAACTCTTTTGATATGAGCATTTGCCATCAAAAATTCCATTAATTCAGACATGTGGTACAGCACAATTGTCCACTACAATTTGCAACTTTTACCCCATTCTGTAAGATCTATGAAATTTCATCGTAAATTTTATATGGAGTGTCAAAACAATTAAAGGCTTGAAAATTACATCAAAAAGGGGGAGTTGTTTCTTTTTTCCAACTTTCTATAAAGTATGGAAAAACTGGTATAGTTCTAGTGAATGTTTAAACGGGCAACAGAAAAACAAAATGCCGAGTACTTGCTTTAAATGCCTAGAAAAGATTCAAACAGATGAAAGATGCTCAATTAATGTCGATTTGTAGTCAGTGTGTCAAAAGTCAGTCACGTCGAAAAGTGACGTTGATTATGTATGGTGGAAATTGAGCTTCAACAAGCTTAGTATTCTGGCATAACCAAGTGAGGATCTTTCAGTATGTATAGATCTATTTGCAATATTATAGGCATTGAAAGCAGCTTTTCATGACATTGTAGAATCACATAAACAAGACAGGCTTGAGTCCTTGCTTAACTCCAGTTAATCTCATCAAGATAAGTGTATAAGGTAGAGAGAGTAGACATTTAGAAACAATGACGATGTCGTATGCCATGAAACTAAACAGCGACAGCGCCGGGTTATCATATAATGTCTTTTTGAATTTTATAATAATTTGGCAAATTATCAACGTATCAAGCTAAATTTTTCAACATTTCTTAAACTGTTGTTGTTTTATGTTCCTTATAATTTTTTTTAGCACAGACTACATAGTATTAATTTTATCGCATCACTCCACGAACTTTTTGATAACCCCTCGTACTTATAATACTACAATACCTGTTCATAGCGATTTACAAATTTACTTATCGTCGACTGTTAAATGCTTCTCCACAGTAGGCACTCCCAAAACTTTCAGCGTTATCGAACCAATTACAGTCTTTTTCTATATTTCATTATCGTATTTTTTCTTCCTTTCACATATATTTAACGCAATAAACAAATTTAAATGAAGTATTTAATGAATAATAACCAAAAATCTATAAAACAATGACTACTGTAAAATCACATATTGTCGATGGGTCAATTTTTTGAGGTTTTAGAAAAAAATATGGGTTTGTGGGGATTTGATTTCGTGGATGATGAATTGTTGCGTAGTTATATATATGGAATTTTACTTTCGTAGTGGATATGAATTCGTGGGTCTCTTCATACCCCATAAAAAAAAAAAATGAAAATCAACCCCCACGAGAATTAGTGATTTCACATATTTATATTCATATTGTGCACGACGACATATATCTGTAAAACATAGTTGTGGTCCCATTATATCAACAATAGGTAAATCAATGACGATATTTATACAATAGAATAGCTGACATGTCATCTAAAGGACAATTGTTTAAGTGAGCTTTTCATTCCTGGGAAAATACATTTAAGGAACACAGGCATTTGGCAATAACTATACCTTCGCAATACATTAGCTGGTTGAGCGATAAAATCGGTTGCATCATCTCTCTAAATAAAACAAAAAATAAAAAACAAAAAACAAAAAAAAACAAAAACAAACAAAATAAACAACAACAAAAAAAAAAAAAAAAAAAAAAAAAAAAAAATTGTTTAGATAGTACAATTGGGCACGGATCTGTAAGGACTGTTAAGGATGAGAAATTTTCGGATAGTGAAAAGGGAAGACAAAATCATACAGGCATCCACAGTTCTCTTTTTCTGTAGCTGGTGGCAAATTTAATTGCATTTTGTTTGTTTGTTTGTTTGTTTGTATGTTGTTTACGTCCCTCTCGAGAATTTTTCACTCATATGGAGACGCCACCACTTGCCGGTGGAGAGCTGCAAATTTTGTCCTATACTCGGGCCATTGAGCAGTGAGGGATCTTTTTTGTGCCAGCACTTACTGCGACACGGGACCTCGGTTTATACCGTCTTATCCGAAGGACCGGTCTCCACGTCCCACAGTGGGATTCGAACCCGCGGCGTAATGTTCAACTCCTCACTCCGCGACTCTAGAGCAGACGCTCTAACCACTGCGCCACGCGGGCGACAATTGTTCTTTGTAAGCATATATGAATTGTCAATACATGTTATTTTTATTAGACTTAATCTTTTTATTATCAGTTTAATATTCGATTTTTTAACAGAGTGTGAGGCTGGGTTTTATGGATATAAATGCAAACAAGAGTGTAGCCTTTTCTGCAAGACATCACGTGACTGCAACCACGTGACAGGATATTGCAACGATGGATGCATAGGTGGATGGCAGGGTGCAAAGTGTTTGCAAGGTGGAAAAGTTTAAACTTAGCATTACATTTCAGACTGCATGAACATATAATTTAGAATTCAGAAGTGTCTAACTTTGCCCAATTGAGGGTTTATACCTGTTACATTTATTTGCAGTTGCGGAAAAAATGGTAGGTCTGGAATGGTCATCACGATTCTACGCCGTTCTTGCAGCGTTGTGCGTTTGTATAACAATAATTGTGCTTTTGATAGTCTACATATGTTATTATAGGTTGGTAAATATACATTATCTATATATTGATAAATAAGATATCAATTAATTATTGAAAGGGAAATTTTACCTTCCGACAGTAATATATGATGAAAGGCATACTTGTATCTTTTATTGATACTTGTAGTAGGAATGTTTCATTCCTTTAATATTTGTATCATATGATCAATCATGATTATTGATATTGATAATATAATAGGAAGGACTATACAACACGGCGAATCTCTGAACTGATATTCATAAACTTTAAAAAGTAGTTGGTATCTGGACATTATATTTCATCTCATTCATCTCTGTAGAAGGAGGACCAACAAAAGACTTAAGAAACAGAAGTTCAAAGGGAATAACGAGACTAAGGCGGGGAAAGTAGACCTCGGAGTCATTTCTTGTAAAATTGATGAAGATGAAAGCAGCAGATATCAAGAGCTTGGCCAACATACACTGCCTTCAGATTATGACTATCTTCGATAATGCCCTCCTTAAACCTACACATAAAGTAAACAGTAAACTTTATGTATACAGATGGTCAATGCATCTTTAAAACTAAAAAGCTTTGATTGAAATGTGCATCTAACATGGAACTGGGAGGATGAATAATACATGTGATTAATTAAAAGATTTATATATTCTTTGTGTTATTGTCCTGTTTTTGGAAAAAGATAAAAATTGCTAAAATTGCATGCATATTTTTCCGTAATGAGGATTATTTGTTTCTTTATTTTTAATTCCAACTATCAATATAATCAACCTAATCATTTTTCGAACAAATGTATGTATGTATATATATATATATATATATATATATATATATATATATATATATATATATATATATATATATATATATATATATTTTTTTTTTTTTTTTTTTTTTTTTTTTTTTTTTTTTTTTTTTTTGATATTTAACTTTACTTGAAAGAAAAGTATGCATGTATAGATTTTTCTAACCGTTTGCACAAAGATACAAAGGCTATTTATTTTCTTAATTTCTCTAAATGAAAAAAATAATGCAACTCTACTTCCCTACTCTACTTTGCAACTACTTTATTTTTCTATTTTTGAGTGAAAATCAACAATCTTGCAGATGGGACTGGAAGATTTAATTGATAAACGCTGCAATGAAAGTAAGATATATCATATATCTGAGATGATAAAGTAAATCTTGTTGATGATAAGTGCGACTTGATACGAAAAATGTTATTCCGTAATGAATCTCGCTAGCAAAAACGGACACTAGAAAAATATATATAAATGTACATCTAAGATGTCTCCAGTGTTTTTAAGCTCATTCCAATTGTATAATTTTAAATTTGATGGAAAAAAGTAAATTAATGTAGATGTTGCTCATATATGCATTTTTTGCTTTTATTCCTCTGTTCGTCAGACATGAATCTCATTTTTAAACATATCGTACATGAATGTTGATAGCTAGTTAGATGTATTTAAATAAAGCGTGCATTAGCATACCTCATGAATAATTTATGGCATTTATATGAAAAAAAAAAAAAAAAAAAAAAAAAAAAAAAAAAACCATTCAGTCAAATAAATGAAATAATTAAAAAAAAAATACAAGTCTGTTATTCAGATATAAAACTTGTAACCTTGGAATCTGTAAACATCAGTACGACATTAAGGAGATAATAAGAATCGGAGTCAGTCCATTTTCAATTAGAGAAACAGTAAACATCCGTAGTAAATCGGGGGAAATATGTTTACTAATGTAACCATTGTACAATATTATTAGTAATCTCAATTTTCTAGCTACAGAATTTACTTTTGAACAATTTATATAATGATGTTCTCTCCTTTCAACAAAATTAGGGCAATTTATGATATTTTCCTTGTACTATTTCCTTATTTTGTTTATTTCTTTTCTCACAGTTTAATGCTATATCATACGGTAAATTTGATGTGTTGTGATTTTTTTTTAATTTCAGAACATTGAATGTCTAAGATTCAAAGAATGAATTTTAATAATAAATTCTTACTACTATATAATTCATTCAAATTGGTTGAAAAACCATAAACGTCGATTTCTTACGTAGATCTATAAATTGGTTGAATTCTATACCACATTTTTTTTCGTTTAAAGGCAGCTCATTTTACCATTCCTTATTGATTGCTTGATTTCTGTTCTGCCTTATGGCAGACTATATGTATACCTTCTTGCTGTAACCGCCGTCATAAAATGAAATAGTTCAAATGATCTAGATAGTATTAAAAATGATCAAGGTATAAATTAAACCATTTTCACCATTGAAGTTTGCACAATGGCGTATATGTGAAGACGGATCAATATTTAATTTGAGTATGTTTTAAACATGTGGGCCTTCGTCCACTGAACAACCTTCGACGAGTCGAGTGGCAACAAAAAAAAAAAAAGAAGTAGATATATAACTGCAGCAAATGTTTCAGAAAAGTGAAGATAAAGAACAGTATTCAATCTCGAAAGTCCAATGAAACGAAACGAATATGGAGCAGAGCAAACACGGACCTCAAAAATTTAGAGGTGGAATCAGGTGCCAATAAGGAGTGAGCATCCCCTGCCGACCGGTCGCACCCACCGTGTGCTCCTTGTCATGTTCGGGACACAAAAACCGGGAATATCCGTAGACAGTTCAGTGTATAAATAATGGCCTAACAATCAGTTTGAAAAAGGTCAGTCAACATTTGACTCAATGACAGGTTGTATGTGCTGACAAGGTCATTGTATCGACTGCAAAACCATTCACGGTAGCTCAGTCTGTAGAGCGCTCGCTCCGTGATCGGGAGGTCGTGAGTTCGAATCTCTGCTGCGACAGACCAAAGTCGATAAAAAATGGGTAGCAACTGTTCCTTCGCCATGCGCTCAGCACTTTGAAGTGAAAGTTGCGGGTCCTTCGAATGAAACCTTAAAGAACCGAGGTCTCGTGTCACGGCAGGCGTTGGCAAGATAAAGATCTCTCACTGCTCAATGGCCCTAAGTGCCGAGTAAAGGTAAAAATTTGAAGCCCTTCACTGGTATATGTTGACGTCTCTAAATGAGTGAAAAATTCTCGAATGGGACGTTAAACAAGGTACACTCAATCAATCGACCAAAAAAAAAAAATTGCGAAAAGATGACTTCAAACGAGACTGTTGATATCCTTGTTTCGTCAACTTGTTTGTCAATAGCTTGCCTCGTTTTAGAAACTGTTTATACGTAGAGCATGCTCTTGCGTAGCGATTCAACTGAGAGACATAAACGCCATATGCAGGTCATAAGGGTATATTGCTACATAAGTATGCGTGATTCTCCAAACGATTCTCAGCGAGACATTGCAATCCAAGCCATGGAATATATGAGGCTTACACGTTTGAGCAAAGGGTAAAATACGCAACATTGTAAACATTGAATGTAAAACAAAAGCCTGTAGGGAAAAAAGCACAGGGAGTAGAAAATAGTGTCTGAAACTACATTTTAAAAGTCTTTTCCCACTGCTTTCTAACGCCTTACATGTGCAGAAAATAATCTTTGATAGTCGTGTCAAGGAAAATAAATCCATACACGCAAATCTGTTGTTACGTTACATGCGTCTGTGTTTTTGTCAAAGTCAATGAATATATGCACATCGGATTTCAATTGGCCGGAAAGAAGGATGTGTAGTGGTGTATAGTGTCATCCATCGCGAGCACTTAAACAAGGGACACAATAATCACTTCATAATATCTTTTCGTTATGTATTGCATATGTTAAATGCATGTAGTTATTGTTTTCATATAATAATAATAATATTCTCATTCAAATACATAGAACCCTCTACATTACTTTTAAAGATAAAGCTTTGAATAATAAAAACGCTAAAGTGTGCTGATGCAAATGAAAAGTTTAAATATTTAACTGCATTTGACAAGGATTTCATCTAATGGATATTGCTGAAAAGGAAATTTAAAGAAAAAGTTTAAAGTTAACGAATACTTATAGTTTTGCTACTAAGGGAAAGTGTACATTAGTTATAAAGGGTTGCAGTAATAATAAAAATTATCATCACTTATATACATAAATTTAGACTTTGTAAACTTTAGAACGTCACTTCTTATTTTAACTTCTCATTGAAGATTTGTATGAAGTTATACATATAGATAGGCACATAAAAATTTTAACAGGGCATTGTATTACATCCACGATTTTTTGAAATTTACAAAAGGTGAAGATAAGTACCAAGGGTCCATCTCAGAAATCTCAGCGAATACGATTCGTAAAGAGGGCAAAACCACTGAAAACACAAGAGTTAGGATAGGATCTGTCGTAGGAGAATGCGTGTACTGTCGAATAATCTCAATCGAAGTGAGCTTTCTGTATGGATCAGGTAAATGAAGTAATCCGTAGAAAATCAAGTGGCGGGAAACATGTCAGTCAAATTACTTCCAAACGAAAAGTTATAATTGCAAATAAGGTCATTATATTGAAACATTCGTTACACAATACGGACACTGTCGCATCAGTGAACATATATACTCTATTGGTGGGGGTATTTAAATTATCCCCAAAAGAAATGTATGCTGAGCTTTAAAAACATTTTAGTTTGTAGTAATTTAATTGGGTCAACGATAAGGACGCTTCTGTCAACAGTGTAATTTTCTTCCCTGTAAAGCGTAATGGAGATTTGTTTTCAGTATGATGTTCACTTGTGTAGCAATTACTGCTCTGGTATTTACAATTGATTTCATATTTTGCTACGGTAAGTTCATGTCTTCTGTGCATATAAATATTATATTGTTGAGTATCGATTTATAGAGGTACGTATAAAGCACAGTATCTTGGCCTATCCAGGAAATCATTTTTTTTCACACAGTTATAAAACAATCACATTTCAACATGTACAATTGTACTGGTTTTAATTTGTATAGCTCTTTTCACCAGGACATCCAGATACTTGTCTGCCTCCTGCATTTAATTGCTCTCTATTCTTTTTTTTTTCATAGAAGATTAAACTGAGGAATGAAAACAGAAAATGTGCTCATAATCTTAATTTTATCTCAAAAAACTAAATTACCCTACATTTTTGATTCAAAAAGTCCTCTTCTGCCGTTTTACTAGGGATGTTCACTACATAATAATAAAAAGTCATTATACACAGAACAAAAAATAAAAAAGAAAAGATTAAAAAAAAAAATCTTATATGTTTTAAATTCTCAATACATTCTCCTTTTCCTTGTACACATGTGTCAAGTCTTTATCTACGATAGGAGCACATAAGGAAATATTTCTTCAGGGAAGGTCAAACAACTCTGATTGATTGCACTTCGGTCCCAAGGACATATATGTAATCAGGGAGTGTTTTCTTGCGAAGATTTTTCTGATAATCGGGAATAAAATTAAATTTTAAAAAAGATGGTAAGCTCTTGCAAACACAGTAGAGGCTAAGCTCTGAAGCTTTTTTTTTTCTTTCGAAGAATCCTTTTTTGAGTCTATACTTGTTCACAGCAGTATTGTCAGGTATAAATACAGACATTTTTCAATAGGGCGAATTCTTTTTTCTAATTTTCTAAGATATTTTTGGCATTTTTTATTCAAAAATACGCTCATCATACGTTTATTTTTAAATCCACTACTGGCCTTAATCAAAACCATGAAAGGATTTAACTGGTTTAACTGGTTTAGTCACCATAAAAATGCTATTGATTACAGGTTCTCCATTTTGAAAGAATCGAATAGTAAGGTTATACTGCATTTAAATGTTGAAATGAAAAATTAGTCACAAGTACATGTACATGTTGGTGGTAGTCAGGGTGACGAAGCTAACTTTTCATGTTCATCCTCGTACAATTAATTGAGTGTAGCAACGTTATCATCAGACAGAGTCAATAAATAACCGTTCAAGACATAGCCTATGGCTTTTGCAAAGCCACAATAACATGTTGCAGAAGACCGTCCAAAAGGTTACAAGATATCAAAGAGTGAATTGGGCAGGAAAGATGCCAATTTAACGCCAACATCCTGTAAAGAAAATTCTCAGAGTCTGCAATGCATTTACATGTAGCAATCGTGCACTCATCAAAACTCATGGTGGACGTAACGGGTACAGAAAACACAGTATTGATGTACCCAAACGGTTTACATTTTGCTCACATCCTCCCACAAATGACAATGACTAAACCAAATAAATATATAATAGCCTTACATCAGAAAAAAAAATAACTTGGGAGAAATATTTTATTTATTGACTTAGATTATTAATAAATATTGCAAAGTCATTCACTGTTGTATCGCTTTCAAAAGTCCTGGTCACCTTTCTCAAATATATTCTTAAATAAAAAGCTAGCATTCACTGTTACTTCTTTGGGTGTAGATACCTGTATTGCGGGTCATCTTAAGTGAATGGAAATTATGTAAATGTATTACATTAAGCGTGTACGATATTTGTCGGAATTTGATTTTTGAACAAGTTAGCAAAATATTGATTTAGTGTATTTACTTATGGTCCTATTTATATCTACACGTGCAAGCCATTTAACGTTGCACTTGAGTTAGCGGAAGTTGCTTTCCTCGAAAGACGCTAAAAAGAATACAGAGCTAAATGTAATACGTTTACAGAACTGTATGAAATGTTTTGGAAGTCCAGATTCTCTCGGCGATCAAAGGCCAAAAGCATCTTTAAATTACCAGATATATTTATTGATTTAATGACTATTTAAATTTTACAGTATTTTGAAAATAATCACTGATGCATATAATTTATGTATTTAAAAAAAAATAAGGAAAAAAGATCAAATTAGTAATAAAAAAACACCTATAGATCAGTTTGATACCGGTCACGAAAGCTGCGTGGTATGGCGTTCACTTTTTGTTGGGAAGGTACCTGGTTCGATTCTTGTTCCAGGTAAATCCTCAAACCTAAGACTTCAGCATATGAAGTGTCTGTTCCTTCGACAAATATCCGATGCTGTTGTAATGATTCTGGAATTTTCAGATACGATCATGCAAGTTCTCAATTAGTCAGTTTACATCAGGTGACATCAATCATATATAAATACCGAGACTCTGCAGTCGTCTGTAGTTGTTCTTCGGACGCAGCCAAGGTTAGAAGACGAGTGTAGTGAATGACGTATTCACGTTTAATACTCCTCGCCTGTTTTACAGTTAGAGTATTTGGAAGGTCAAATCAGTTAAGGCCTTCCACAAACGAGGTTGACCTCCAATAGGGAGGCTAGCCATAGTTTGTTTGATCTCGTCTGCATTGGCTGACCAGTCCATCCAGACTGCTATACTCACTGTCCGTCCTGTATAAGGCATCCTATAGTGAGTGTAGTAGTGGAAGGGCTACCACATATACTGTCCGTCCTGAATAAGACATCCTACAGTATATGCGGTAATCCGAGGGCGACTGGGCTCTAGATTTGTGTTAGGTTACCAGTTAATTAATTGTTGCTTGCATCTGATTATTATAGTGATTAACTAGTTGATTTTATATTTACCTAGATAAGGTTAGGACATATTTGTATATTTCGGCAGTCCACTAAAATCAGACCAATTATTTCCAATCATTTAATGTTGAACACCCCAAACCATGGAATTGACCAGGTACGATCCCTGTGTTTTATTTTATGTAAATACGTTACACTGTATGTGAAAGTCAAGGGTCTCTCGGATGAGACCTGAATAACAAAGGTCCCATGACGTGGTAGGCGCTGGCTCAAAAAAAAAAAAAACTTCATTGCTCAATGGCTGAGAGATGAGTAAATGTCTAAATCGGAAGCCCTTCGCATTTTTTTTTTTTGTAATGTCTCATACGAGTGCAAATTTCTCATAAGGGACTTAAAAATAAATGAGCAATCAATCAGTTTGAACTATTCATTGGTATTAGAAAATTTACATTCTAAGGTAACAGAGTGCAAACAGTGGGAAGATGTCTAGAAAATGAAAGGTGCGGAAGAGTAACATGCTCTTTGATGCTTTCTTATTCTCTTAATGATACAGTGGTCTATTTTGTACTGATAATGGAAAAACATCTCAGCATATTAATTAGGAAAAAAAATGGACATTTTTTTTTTATCTGCGGAGTTTTATTGGTTTCATGCAAATAGCGCTCACAGCAACCTTGTCCTCGAATTTTCTAACCTTCGTATGTAATATTTCTTTCAAGTAATTTTTCCAAATTTTTGTGTAACAAAGTCAGTGTCTTCCATATATTTAGCAAGAACTGATTTTCAAAACAGGATTATTAGTACAAAAGATGTGCCTATAACTAATTAAAAAAAAATGTAAACTTTTGAAATTTGAGATTTTTTTTTTTTTATTTTATATAGCAGTAAGTTAGATAAATTAGCTGGGACTTTTTGCTTTTGTAGAAAACATAGCTCTAAATAAATCAACATGGCAAAAACTCCAGTACAATCCAGGAGATAGTAGATTCCATTCCAGTAATGCTGTTGATGGACTTAAGACTGACCTCAGTGCATTCGGAGGTCAATGTGTGTTAACTGCTGATAAACAGAGCACTGCCACCTGGTGGGTAAACTTGACATCCGTCGTTAGTATACATCACATCTTAATATATTACAGGACTGAAAATGAAGAATGGGGTTAGTTTACCTTATTTTATTCTTGATATCAATGAATATTTATTCATAACATTTTGAAACAATTAATTTTTATTTGCAATGAATTTTAACTTCGATGCATGAAGTTTTTTTTTTTTTTTTTTTTTTTTTTGTTTTTTTTTTTGTTTTGTTTTTTTTGTTTTTTTGTTTTTTTGTTTTTTTTCATATTAATGCTTAGAATTATACATGTCCCAATAGTACCTATACAGTCAACACATTTTAAATTTATTCTAGCTGACCAAATCACAGATAGTTAAATAGCAAGTTTACCTAGAGCCTTTTTGGCCCCGTGAATTTAAAAAAAAACTTCATTTTAATTAACAATATATTAAATATTGCTTGGACCCCTGGTGAATGTATACATACATACATACATATATCTTTTAAAATTGATGTAATTTTCTCTCCAGTTCATGTGTTATGAGTTATCAAATGTGTCTTTCTTCACTCATCCTAAAAAATCTTCAAAGTTGACGACACATTTCAGCCCCCCCCCCCCCCCCCAATATTTTGCGTAAAGTGAAACCTCTGATCTAAAATGTGCAATTATAAAATTCAAAAATCCTTTATAAATATTATTTTGATTGAGGGTTGGGCTCATATTAAAATATCTGTGGAAGGCAAATCTGTTTTTAGCAAAATTCAGAAACACTTAAATTTCTCAGAGCTGTTATTTTTATACCAGAGGAATCATTTTTCATTTAAAATGAAAACACTAAGCATTTACTTTATAGAGATGTTTGAAATGGGACATAGGGTCATGGTCAATTAATTGGGAAATAAGATATGACCAGGACCCTTTTTTGGATAAAGTGCACCTAGTTAAAATTAGAAAACTGTAATCAATATTTCTAGGAAGTCGTCTATTCTTATTTTTCAGTTTAAGTTCTTAGAGAGGAAAGATATAAACTAGCTGTCTTCTTTACTTCACTTTAAAAAAAAAAGTTTCAGTCTGGTAAATACAAAACAAGTTTACTCAGCATTTTAGTCGTGACTGATAAGAGAAATTTTAAACTTGCTGCCAAATTGTCTGATTCGTGAAGTTATGTATGTGTTAATGATTGTGTAAATTGTTTTATTTTGTTTTGTTTTGTTTTGTTTTTGTTTTTTTTCAAAAACACTTATTTGCAGTCCTCAGTACCATATATAAAGGGCTATATCTCTTCTTGCATGCAGTAGAGAATGGCGCAAAAAAAAAAAAAAAAAAAAAAAAAAATCCTTACTGCTTAATGATCACCCCCCCCCCCCCCCCCACACACACACACCAATAGATGATTTCAAATTATGTGCATCAGTACGTATTTTCAAAGGGCGTTAGCAACAGAACAAAATTCTCGTATCTAGTAAAAATTTAGAATGCTTTTGCTCTTGCCCTGAGCATCTCTCATACGTAAGGAAATTCTTACTGAAAATATTACCAATTACCTCAACCAAGTCTATAGAACTGGATAATTTATAAAAATATCATTTACGTCTTTTAAAATTTTATCGCAATCTTAACAATCTAGCTTTGTATTAAAAACACGTCAAAAAGTAACTTGTAAGCCAGACGCACTGTACGAAAAAAGATGACATTCTAAAGATTTTTTTATTATTATTATTTTAAAAACTGAATTCTAGTTTCATATCTACAAATATTACCCTATATTTAACGATATTTTGTTTATATCTCTAGGATAACAAGACTTCTTTTTGCCTCATTCTGAGATGAAAAACCTCCCTATTCCTCATAGCAATATTGAAGTAAACCTTAATATCGAGGAAAAATTACAATCTTCGTTTAGAATAGATTTTAAAAAAATTGTTTCAAATGACTGAAATTAATACAAATGTAGATTTTGGGGATTCTTCGTTTATTCATCAAGCATAAACTAGAATGATATATATGCATATTGAAACAAACAAACAAACAAACAAAATTACAGATAAAAGCAAATTGATAAAAAAAGAACAATGCCTTTTCAAGATTGTCTATTTGCCAACTTTCTTCTCACAAAAAGCTGTCATCCTACCCAAGAACTAAATTATATACATTTCCAGGTCCTTCAAATCCTTACACCACCAGATTTCTAGGATTTCAACTGTATATTTCAAATACAACAGATAGATTTGATGGTTATTTATGTTTTCACGATACAAACCACAACAGATCCACAATACCATCTGTCGCTAACATAAGCTGTCCTATACATGGACAATACGTAATCTACTACAATGAGAGACTTCCTAATGCAACTTATCCAAGTGGATATTCTCAGTATGCTTTTACTGATTTCTGTGAAGTTGAAGTGTATGGTAAGTATTTATACAAAAGAAGGACTTTAGAATACAGAAGCACATTGCTTGCATATAAGCTGTCTATTCCTTATTGCTAAAATATGTTTATGTTATAGGTTGTTCTGCTCCCAGGGTGTATGGATCAAATTGTTCCATCCCGTGTCCTGTAAACTGCAAGCAGTACTGTCATGTAGAATCAGGAAATTGTTTTCAATGTGATCCTGGTTATAAGGATGGACATTGTGAACAGCGTGAGTTTTCTTCATATTGCCAAAAATATGTTAAATTTCAATACTTAGGTAAAAATTCCGTTCATGTCTTTCTCATGTTCTTGCTTGCTTGAGTAGTGTATTTGAAACATTTCACCATTAAACAGTCTTAAAAAGTGTTACATTTAGTAATATCCATTAAGTTCCCTTATTAAAAATATCTTAGTAGATTAGATTAATTAAAATTAAAAAACAAGATGTGTTTGTGAAACACTGATGCCCCCGTATGGCAGCTTATGGCGAAGGTTAAAGTTTCTTCAAATGCAAGTCAAAATCCAGGCCAAAAGATAAGAAATGTTAATACCCCAAAAAAGGCCTTGTCTCGAGGAATACACCTATGATATTTGAAAGACCTAGATACAACTGTTCAGAAGTTATGGCGAAGGTTAAAGTTTTTTTAATAAAAGTCAAACGTCAAGGTCAAGGTCAAAGTGGTGATTGGTATCCAAAGGAAGATCTTGTCACAAGGATTACATATGTGAAGTATGAAAGCCCTAGCACCAACCATTCAAAAGTTATGGCCAAGGTTAAAGTTTTTCAAAAGTAGGTCAAACTCCTAGGTCAAGGTCAAAGTGTCAAAGTGGTTGATATCCAGAGGAAGGTCTTGTCACAAGGAATACACATGTGAAGTTTGAAACCCTAGGCACCAACTGTTCAAAAGTTATGGCCAAGGTTAAAGTTTTTCAAAAGTAGGCCAAACTCCAAGGTCAAGGTCAAAAGGTCAAAGTTATTGGTATCCAAAGGAAGGCCTTGTCACAAAGAATACACATGTGAAGTTTAAAACCCCAAGCACCAACTGTTCAGAAGTTATGGCTAAGGTTAAAGTCTCATAAAATTTTGCAAAAGTAGGTCAAACTCCAAGGTCAAGGTCAAAAGGTCAAATATGATGGTACCCAAAGAAAGGTCTTGTCACAAGGAATACACATGTGAAATATGAAAGTCATAGCTCCAACCAATCAAAAGTTATGGGCAAGGTTAAAGTTGACAACAGACACACAGAAAAACAGACAAACAGACAAACGGACACACAGACAAACGGACAAACAGACAAACAGACAGACAGGCAAAAACAATATACCCCCGGGATCTTTCGATCCGGGGGCATAATAAAAAATATTCAAATGTCTCTGTTTTAATAGTATGGAAATTATGAATAACCTTTAGAAACAATGTACTTATTAGAATGCAATATGAGGAAATACGGAGAAGACTGCAGTCAGGACTGCGGTGTCTGTCTGGATTACAAACAATGTGATCACATAAACGGAACATGTGATGAAGGATGCGATAGTGGATACTACGACCTACTCTGTAAAACAGGTAATTAGCATGTATTTTAAATGGATATTAAAAAAAATCCCTGTGAGAGTACTATTAAATATTATACTATAATTATCGTATTTGGAGAATTTGCATTTCGGGTATTGATTTCCTATTTATTTTATAATAAAGAGTATAACCAATTGTCTGACGTATGATTAAGCACCAACAAAAACTCTAATCATACTAGCTCAGCCTATTTAAATGCAGCGTGCAATTTTCAAAATAATCATAAATCTTATAACAATTTAATATACAATCAACTCAATAAATATAATGTCACTAAATACGCACATGTACAGGTCCAGCACAATACCCTGATAAAGGTATATAGCTTGATAAAGCGATATAGCTTTATCAAGATATTACAAATACCTTGATCAAGGTATTTTATGTAATGAAAATACAAAAAAAAAAAAAAATCCAAAAAAAATAAATACTGCAAGCCAAGTTTTGAGTTGTTCTCAGTAAATTCACTCATGCATGTAAAGTACTTAAACACAAAGAAATCAGTAAAAAGGCATGTCATGTGAAGAGCCGTTCTTTTATGCTGACTTTTTGATACCTGAGTACTTTTCATGCTCGAGCGAACACACTGACCACAACTCATAATTTGACTTTTAAATTTATTTTTTTAAGGATTTTTTTTTTTGTATTTTCATTACATAAAATACCTTGATCAAGGTATTTATAATACCTTGATAAAGCTATATGGCTTTATCAAGCTATATACTTTTATCAGGGTATGGTGCTGGACCTGATGTATGCGTGTAACACTAAACGTAGACAACGGCACATTTTTAACACTTGAAAACCAACTTACGTTTCCCTTTCAGAAACAAAGCTTTTGTGCAGACAACAGACATTTAAAAAATAATAAGTAAAAAAGCATTGGGCTACGCATAAAAAAAAGAATTAATGACTCCATCCAAATGATTCTTACAGTGCCTTTTTTATCAATTTTTATAGTTCAGTTCAATATGTCTCCTATTTAAATTTCTAACTTTTCAAAATACAAATAATCTGCATTTGCATTATATAAACGTACCTTTCACGCATTTGCTTAATTGTAAATGTCATACTGAGAAGACGAAACTCAAAAGAGACTTGTCGATGCGTGTAATTAGCTGATAACAATCTACATCTTCTTTGTTTGAATTAAGAATGTATTCCTGGAAAGTATGGTGTAAACTGTAAGGACACATGTAGTGAACTCTGTACAGTGACAAACAGATGTAACCATACATCAGGGGAATGCGAGGGAGGCTGCAAACCAGGGTGGAAAGGATTATTATGTGATAAAGGTAAAAATACATTGAAAATGTATACTTTTATGATTCACTTGTATTTGAGGTACTGTGAATGATATTTGAATGAATGATAATCAATTCAAAGTACAATCATTTGATTTAGTCTAAATTACGCAGCTCTGTTAAGGCTGCATAAAGAGGGCGGGATATAATGTCTTCTCTGACATCACACAACATAGCAATTCCTTACAACAACAGAAAATGAAATAATTTAAGGGTTTAAACTGCATAAGAGTGATAAACTACATCAAAACGTACCACTGCATTCATTTTGCCGCTAGTTAAATCCCATACAGCAAGATATAAACAAGTCACTGATCGCAATGTACTTGTCGACATGACGTCTTCATGTTAAAATTTGATGCATTTTGTGTGCAGTGAGAGGCGGACCAAGTAATTTTTCCACAGTGAAAAACGAATTTTATTATTAAACAGAATATTATTTGCAAATCTAAGGTAGACCATCAATACAAGTCTGAAACCTTTGCTTAGTGTCATTATTTAAAAACTATCGGAGGATGTTTTGAATTAATTCTACCGTGTTTTTGTGTACAGGGTATTAATGTTTCACGCTGAGGTGTCTCATTAAATCGCCTTTTCGCAAAGGCATACACTTAATAGATCTTGACCATTTTTTGAATATGCATAACGGAAACATTCTTTAACTTGAAAAGTGCTGCTGCTTTCCTGAAATCAGAACATTACTTAATAAATAAATAAAATGCATTGTGAAGGTTACACATATTTCGACTAGAGTCAAACAACTTGAAATTTAAACTAATAAAATGCAAAATTTATTTAAAGCAGCAGCACTTTTCATAAGATACAAGTCATATAGATTTATTTTATTACTGATTTTTTTTAAAATTCTAACTAGGGTATGCCCTTGCAATATTGAAATTTATTTATGACCTACATAAAGTACACATTACATGGATTTAACACGTGACTGTCAAATAACGTGACCAAACTAAATTTCTTACAGAGCGGGATATACAATGTTATTTCAATTAAAATTAAAGTCATGCTATAATGTAGTAGCTTTACAAAAATAAATTCAGTTGAAAAAGATATGTATTTATGCACATTTACATTCCGTTGATTCTTCGTAGTACGCCTTAACAGTCCCGAGCATTATCTTTGACAATCGTCAATTGATATGGTTGAAAATGAAAATGACTCTGAATGAATATTGTCATTTTATATAAACGCATGTATCTGCTCTGGTCTTTATAAAAGATAGTTTTGAGATTGTTCAAGACACAACAGAGACACAAATATACATTACTTAAAACATATCTTTCCATTCTCACAAGTGCCTTGATAATGTCTTTTTTTTTAATTAAAAATAGACAGCTTATCGTATACATAAGATTGTCCTGTTAATTATGACCTTGAGTAATGCATGGTTATAGCACATGCACATTAAATACATGTACGCGTGATGTTATTCATGCTCGATCATTTCGATATACTGGCCAAACACAAAATATTCCTTAAAACAATCATGACCGTTATAATTAAGAAATGTTACATGTATATGGAGGTGATGAAGGTATATCTTGCATGTGAAAAAAATATATGCAATTGATACCTTTTCTAGGCAAGACATGACAAGAAAGTGCAGACCTAAATATATGTGCAATCTAACATTGGTTGAATCAGTTAGAAAAACACACGGATCATATGTTTATTTTACACAGCCATTTATATAATCTGTCTTAGAAGTCAATTTTTCCAGAATTTCATTGTTGTTTTTATTTATTTTAAATACGGAATACTAGGGACAAAATATTTATGAACGAAAATAATAGAGTGATTATATATATATATATATATATATATATATATATATATATATATATATATATATATATATATATATATATATATATATATATATATATATATATATTTATATATCTCATACAATATTTGTTCGATTAAATTGACGATAACCAAATCATATATGCATTCAGCGTGACATAATTTGAATGATGGTTGGTTAAATTTTGATTGATTTTATAGAATTGTTCGTATCAGTTCAATTTTGGTTACTCTCATTTGATTGTATTTTTTTTTTTTAATTTGATTTCATTTGACGCAGAATGCGACGGGGGTAAATATGGTTTTCACTGCAATGAAACCTGTGGAAGTTGTCGTTATCTACATCAGTGTCACCATATCAACGGTTCATGTGAAGACGGCTGCAAACCGGGATACCAAGGGGTGAAGTGCGATAACGGTAGGAGGGTTTACGACTTAACGTTTTGTAATACTCTAACAAGATGGATTCCAAAATAAGGCATATGTGTGTCAATATTAGATTCTTTTATATTTTTTTATTGAAAAGAGTAGATGCGAATATTTTGGCTTTATTTTAGTAATTGTTCTGAATGTTAAAACAAAGAAAGCAATCAGTGTAGAATTCTTATAATGCTTCGGGTGGAAAGGTAAAATACAAGTATCTTCATTCCCAAGAGAAAAATTGCTCCACCTTAATGCACTCTGGCGGGGAAACTTTCCCTGTCGTCATTGTTTCTATGCAAATTTTCTTGTCTTTTCAAACCACCATCAATTAAAAACTATCTTGAAATTTTCAGTATTGAATGATGAAATTTTTAGCAGAAACCAGTTATATTCTTGGAATTGTATAAGTTTCAAAAAACTTTACAGTTTGAGAAGACAATATCTTCAAAACTTCATTGATCGAATCATGTTTGGATTTAAATGCTGACAGCGATTTTCTCAATCTATTTTTTAAGAATAAGAAAGACATTTCGATGATGTTTAGGAATGGGGAATGTGATTGCCGGTCAAGAAAATTTAAATCATGTTCATGTTTCCACGCTGTTTTCAATTGTGAGGCATGACAAGGAAAATTTTCATCCTGGAAAACAAATGATGAATTTCCAAAATTTTTTGAGATAACTGGTCAGAAATGCTTCTCGAGAGTCTCTTCAAACTTATTAGAGATCATGTTTCAAGTTATTGAAATTAATGTACACACTCCTAAAGATGTCAGAAATACCAAAAATAGTGCTTATTTTTACTCTGCGGTTATGTAGACCGACACACTCGGAACGATACGTTTCATCATGAGTTCTCCAAACATACAGACGATTTTCGTTTGATAACACCGAGTTTCATCTTGGAAAAAAAATCACTTTCCTCCAGGAGTCATTACTCATATATTAACACCACTGAGCACGCCTTTGTTTACTATGAATTTATGATAAGTGTCTTTGAAATATTTTGTATATACGTATAACATGTATAACTCCACATCTTCATTACATCTGTAATTAATTCGTTCTATGGTCATTATAGTTACGGTATATATTATAGAAAAAAGGTTTTTTCTAAGTTAATAGAAAGTGTCACAATCCCTTTGTATTAATTTTACAATAGATCATGTTCAAAAAAAAAAAAAAAAAAAAAAATGAGCACGACGTTTTCGATTGACTTCGGCCACAGTGGTTATCTTCCTTATTTTGTGTCTGTGAATTGATTTTTCTCTGAATAGTCCTTACAGACACTGTATGAGAAGCATGTTGGTTGAAATGATCCACAATTTCACTCAAAGTTTGTCTTCTATCCTTTTTCACTGTCCGAATCAAAATTCTGTCACCCTTCTCATCAACCAGACTCTTCCTTCCTCGATTTGATATCGTTTCCATAATTTCCTCATTATTATAATTCTTCACAAGCATAGAAATCGTAGATTTATTCTAGAAATTATTTCTGCCAAATAATGTTGAATTTTACGACGCAGATACAAATCTATAGCTCCTATGACAGTTCTGTCGTCTGCCCTACATTAACAAAACCAGAGAGTTTAAACAAGGGAAGCAACTGCAATTGGGTGCAAAGGGAAATCATGCCCGATATAATGTTTACAGGTCCTAAATGTTTTTAACTGTATACACATTTGGAATTACAACACAAAATGCACAGAGAATAAAAACAAAGAACAAAAACTTCTGCAAAATTGCAAACTATAGCACGTCGTATTGTAGCATTCCACTTGATCGGTTTCCTTCCTTTCTGCTTAAATTAGAAAATTCTCCCTGATAAAAATTCTGAACTTTGGTGATGATTTTCTGCAATGTTTAGCTGTACTATAATTCATGTTATATTCATGTTATATTCTATATTCTTTTTTTCCAGTTTGTAGTTTTGGTTATTTTGGATCTGACTGCAAAGAAGAATGCAGTGCATTTTGTAAGAAAACACGTGACTGTCATCATGTGACTGGTTCCTGTAGAGAGAGTTGTAAGGCTGGCTGGCAAGGACACGACTGTTTTCAGAGTAAATTGAAACAACATACTCATGTTATATTCAAATGGTATCATTTTTATTTTGGAAACTTGTAGAAAAAAATTATTTATTTTTATATTCATTAAATGAACTTTTGTTTAATTGTGAAAAAAGGCAAATCGTATCTTTCAGGTGAGAAAATTGTATTTGCTTTTTAATTGCATGTTATATCACATTGTAAACTACGATAGAAAATAGAAAAAAATACATGTTTGCATTATATATAACAATTAGGAAATAGTTGATGAAGAGATACAGAACGTATTAAGTATTATTGAGAACAACCATTTGCAAAGATAAGCAATTGAAATCAATTTTCATTTTTGGAAAAGAAAAATGAATTCATTAAAAGCATTTAACATAATTTTCTTTACAGTCCAAGCAAAGGAGGAGAGCGACTGGCAATCACGATTTTACGGTCTTCTAGCTGGGTTTTGTGTTTGTGTAGCAGTTATAGCCGTTTTATTAGTAGTGGTGTTTCTGCAACGGTAGGTCAAGTATCGGATATAATCAAAATAATTTTACCCCATTTTTTCTTAAGGATGTTTCTTTTCAAGAAAACAATTAGTTTCCAGTAATCAGACATCATGAGTTATTTTATTGACCAATTTTTGCCTTTCATTTTTACAGACGTCGCATGAGTGGGAAGAGAGCAGGGCAAAGTCATAAGGAAAGTCAAAATCCACAATGTAATGCTGGTTACGTAGATGTAATGACCACTGAAAATGTTAGAAGTGAATACCAAGAGCTCAGTGACATTAAAGGATCCTCAACATATGACGTTATCAAATGATAAGCATTATAAATATAACTTGGGTCTTTACTACAGACCTGCGATGACAAATTTATTATGTCTAAAAGGTTTTTTTTTATCTATGAAAAAGAAATCAATATTGACCGAAGCGAAGCCAGAGTCAATATCCATAATTTTCTGATGGACATTATAAACTTAAAAGACAGCATGTTTTGTATAGTATCGAATGAAAATAGAGAATTAAGCATGCGTACAACAGAATTTTTCATGAACGAGCTCCTGTTGTGCAGAGGCTCAAAATATCCAATTAAATATAACTTTACAATATCTTTGTTTTCTTTACGTGTTTATTATTCTTATTAGTACATCAAGGAAAACAGGAAATTCTGAATAGTTTTGCTCATGATCAGAACATGATCTTGCCTATGATTCAAATGACAGACTTGTGTGATCACTATGTATATCTGCAAAGATATAGAAACTGAAATATAAATACATATAGCTTGCCGTCTTTTTTTTTTTTTTTTAATTTTTCAGTTTGCTATACATTTACATGTTTACGAGGGCTGTTCGGAGATTATTGAGGCAATGTGTATATTCTTTTTTGTAATTAACGTCTTTCGGTGATTTGCATATACGTTAGAAAAATAATAAAAATTAATAAAAGCAAAAATATTCTATAAATATTTTGTTTCTTCTCAGTGGTATATTTATGTGTCAATGGTAGGGGTACCCGGCGCAGTCACGAAATCAGATGTTGAAAAAAAGTTACTCCAGCGTTCAAACTCCCAGTGGACTCATAGTTAGAGCAAAAATACGAGGGTTAATCCAAAAGTAATGTGACATCTTCGATAAAATTGCTACCAGTTGACGTAAAACAAGAAAATTATAAATGATGGATGATATAAGTATTTAAAATCAGACCTGAAAATTTCAATTCAGGAGGATTTATACTTATCGTGTCACATACAAAGTGCGATTTGGTAGTCGCCGCATCTAAATAGCGTCATATAATCGATAAATGCCGTCATACATTCAAACGTTTCCCAATAAGAAAATATTAATTCAATTTAATTTAATTCAATTTATGTATATAATTTTTCAATTTAATTTTGACTTCATTTTGTGTAAGTTTGTTAGAATTGCGATCAGAAGTACGGAAATCATAGATAAATTTAAGCGCGGCACGGAAATCTGAGAAGGACAACAAAATGGAATTTGACGTCAAGGTGGCGCAGCGAGCATACCTTTAATTTTGTATAGCGCTATGGAGAACCCTTTTCCAGACTAAACAACCTGCTTAAACGATAACAATGCAAAGATGTGTCTAAAGATTTTATTTTTCATTGGTATATATCTTATTCTTACAAAATGTTCAACAAGAGTAAAAACCAGCGCTCTATACGACCATCAATTATTACGGAGTAAATAACGTCCCGCTGAAAAAATCGGTACTGCGTGATGCTAATTCAACCTGTATATGACACTTTTACACTAAGGTAGCAACAACATACATTTTTTTTTAAATTTTATTTCTTCAAGAATTGTTTAAGAAAAGAGACAGTTTGATTTTGGGAATGTTATATCTGATAACAGAGAAAGAAGAGTAAACGCTTCCCGATCGTTTCACTTGCAAAAACATTTCTGGCTGACGTGACGTAAAAATGACGTAGCGATGCTGCTCCAGGTCGATAGAAATATGCATGTTTATAATTTCACCGGAACTTGTCTAATTATCCTATAAATTAGAAATTTTGCACATTTCTCTTATTCAATATTTATAAAATGTTGATGAAGTTTCATGAATGGATCTCTGGCCTTTATGTAGTAAAAGTAAATGCCACAATAATTTCCGAACAGCCCTCGTATTCAGTAAAATAGATCAGGGAGTAGCTGACCAGATTTAACAGTGTTCTTGTATTCAGAGTTCACTGAATATTGTAAATTGATAAAAGGTCGATATCTAAAAAATATGCACCCTCCCTGCACATCTACTTCTTCGTAGAATTTTATTGATATACATTTTTTTAAACTGCAAGTGAATTATTATTATAGAACTTAATATGCAATACGCATACTTATCAAGTTAAAATTGCATTTAGTTTTCTACGTTTGTTAAAGAATTAGATAAACAAACTGCCTGATTGAACTTTTGTTAGCCAAATAATAATTGTCGTTCATGTTAGCCTAGTACATGGGGACGCTCAAGGTACATGTTAGCCTAATACAAGAGGACGCTCAAGGTGCATGTTAGCCTAATACAAAGGAAGGCTCAAGGTACATGTTAGCTTAATACAAGGGAACGCTCAAGGTACATGTTAGCCTAATACAAGGGGACGCTCAAGGTACATGTTAGCCTAATACAAGGGAACGCTCAAGGTACATGTTAGCCTGATACAAGGCGAAGCTCAAGGTACAAGTTAGCCTAATTCAAGGGAACGCTCAAGGTACAATGAGCATAACCCACAACCCATTTTACTTTCTACTTTTGTTATAAAAAAATCATCCGCTATGCAAGCCTATGTATGAACTATGGTTATAATGAACAGTAAATAGGATTAAAAATTTATTAAAAGAATAAATGTTGGACAAACGGTAAAGCGTCAGAGCAAACACCGACCTCTATAACATCAAAAGTGGGATCAGCTGCGAAGAAGAAGTCCCCTGTCGACGGATCACACCCGCCGTGTCCTCAATGTCATGATTGGATAAACGAAGAAATCAGTAGACAATCTGATAAGGTTGTCAAACAATTAATTTGCTCCTGCTGAACAGGTTATCTGCGGAGTTGTTTGTTTTGAAAGGTTCCGAGTTCTAATGAACCTTGTCCTGAGGATTGTAAGTGTTTTAAACACTTTTCTTGATTTAGTGGATGCTTAATGTATTTTTCTTAAATGGTACAATAGACAGACCCCCTTGACGTACACCTTAGTGCCTAAGTGGTTTACCCCTACACTTTTCTTTTGTCTTAAAATTAAGTAAAGTTGAATAAACTTTTTTTATTGTAAGAAATTGTTTTTATACATTAAGTATATACATGGAATATCTCGAAACTGATTTTAAAAAAAGAAAAAAAAAGCATAAAACCTGGGAGCCTTTAGGGGCTTTCCCCCACCTTGAACCTTACGAAGCCTTTGCCCTGGACCCGCTGCAGGATTTTAAGTCGTCGGCAGGCCCCCAGAATGTTGGTCTTCCTCTTTTAAAGAATTTTGGATCCGCTACTGACATCTCAAAATAAAGCTGTACATTTTTATGAACAGGTAATTTATTAGAGAAGTTGAAAAGAAAGAGTTTCTTATAAGATACGGAAGTTCTATGTACTAGGATTTCCTTATGTTTTGGTATCGATTTCTCTAGCCTAGTTGCTATGGCAATTGCTTCGCGATCGGGAAGTTGGAAGTCAATCGCAGTTCTGGCGCCAAGAAAAATCTAAATCAACAAACAAACGTAGGGGCTGTTCTTCAAATCAATCTGCATAAAAAGTGAAAATCTCGACATTGTAATGATATTGTTTTCTTCAGTAACCTGTTGTGTTTATAAACAGGGTAAGATATGTGATATAAATAATTATAAACATTTTGAAATATATGTGATAAATATATATTACTTCTACCTGTAATTTTGGTTAATCAGTGATAGAAAATCAAACAAAAACATTATGCTGTTGGAATTCGAGTCCATGCTCTAAAGAACGGAAAAGAACAGGTCTCAAGATTTCGTTGTAATAGTTCTTTTCGTTACAGGCATCACATTACAAAAACGAATTCAATCGACCTTTCCATGATTTTAAGTACTTCTGCGATCAAGCTACTACGATCAAACTTATATTTCTGCAAAACAGAACTTATGTAAAATATCTTGCCTTACTTTTAACCTGCCATTAAAGAGCTTATGAGTGAATCGAGATTCATCGGTGAACAACGAATAACCGCAGCTTGGATGGCTTCAGCATAGATACTGATTATCCCAGAACAACCATTGCTGTTTATAGTTAGCTATTAACTCAGTCACCTTCTAAGACCTTCTAGCATTACCATTACGAAGGCGGATGCTGATGATTTGAAAAGAAACTAGCATTCCTCCTGCTGGTCATAAATGATCATCAATGCAGATTAATAGCAGAAAACTTTCACACCCTTACGTACTGTGCAATAGGTTCCTATCTTAGCGTCAGTAACTTTTTTTTCCTCGTCCGTCTTGTGATCAGACTTTACATTACCTAACTATCTGGTAACAAGTCATTGCTAGGCCAATCCAGCTAGGGGGATGTGATGCATCTTAAGTTGCTCAATATTTGTGGAGCGATGAAGACAATTAAATTAGAATAGAGAATTTATTTTTAAAAGGAAACCTATCAACATTGTCATGTCTTTAAGTTATAACCATTTCAGTTGTTTTAAAGGCAGCTGCGGTAAAAGTAAATGTCCGAAGCTTTCTGAATACCTTTTGGATCTATTTTTGAATATGTCTCATGCAAAAAAGAAATCGTTTTCAATGATATTTTCTTTAAAAATAAAACCATTAAATATCGTCATAAATTCATATTTTAATAACATATTACAAGTTAAGTTCCAATTTGATAATATTCGATTATCGGTTGCAAGATCGCTAGAACTTGTATAGGTCCGATAAATAGTGTACTCACCTAGTTAAGAGCATTGTTGAAGAGTGAATGACTGAAGTAACAATGGATGTAAACCAGAAAACAAGGGTTATAAGTACGATTAAGGAAAATATTTTTTTTTTTTTTTTGAATGTTGGAAAATATTTTCATTTTACAGAAAACAAAAACCTGAAGTAAGTCAATTTCTTTCAAGAATTACAAATATAAAGCGTCACCTTCTGTGTATTAACCAGAAGATTTTTAATATTATTTTATCAATATTTGTCATTTATCATCATATATTTATTTCATTTTCAACAGTAAAATACTGTAGTTTATTCATTGAATAAAAGTGATATTCTAACACGATGTGAAAGGGTATCAAAATTGTATTCTCACAGTATGAGAGAATATCAGAATATCAAAAGTGCGGCAAAACTCTCGATTTTCCTTACCTTCACGAAGAGTGTTTAAAAAAAAAACAAAACTCCCTGGCCTGTCATTAGATAGAGAGAGTAAATTAACCATCCTGACAGAGACTAAAATTGCCATAGTTTCTCCAATTATGTTGTTAAAAATCCATGTTTACAACGTTTTTTATTCTCAATCTCTCAACCGCTACTAAAACCTATGACGATTGTTTAGGTAAGAAAAAAATAGCTTTATATTCCTGACCCAGTTTTTTTATCATTTCAATTTAATTGTTTTATTGCAAAAAATGT